GGCATCATGTCCTGTTTATGTGTGTATGTGTGTGTGTGTGTGTATGATTTGAAGTTGTCTGTTGTCTCTAAGCCATTGTAGCATTATTGTATTAATCTGTTGACTGTATGTTGGCTTGCTTCCCTGATTTTTTGTTTTGTTCTAATATATCTAGGCATCAGGGCAGTGGTGTTACTCTGGTTGCTAGTTTGGCAGCACCGGAGAACTCACTACCTAGGTGTCTCTGATTACTAATCACACAGAGCAGCTGAGGGAAGGCTAGGTGGGTGCTGGCCACCATTCTTCTTCAGTTCAGTACTTCTGGAGCAGATGGTGGCACTTGCCCAGAAGGTCTCCTGATCTTTTGGAAAGGCAGAAGGATGAAAGAACTAAGCAAAAACATTAAAAAAAAAAAAAAAAAAGTACCAACTGGCAGTGGGGGGAGTTTGACCTGCTGCCAGGTGGGTGAAGATGGGGAGGACCATGTCTCTGATCACTGGTAAACTGTGTAAGAGGGGAAGCTGTGTAACACTTCTCTGGTTACCTGATCACTGATGTGGGTGCCAGTGCAGTCCTGGATAAGTGGAGCCAATTTTCTGGTGCCTGCTGCAACTGAATGTCATTTGCAATAATTCAAAATGGCTGTGCTGTGCCAGTTAGCAGTTTAGTGCTTCTTGTTTGAGTAAGGTTTTCTGTCACATATGAAATAAAAAGTCCCACTTGATGAAAGCTATCAGATGAACTTTTAAAGAAAATGAATATTCTGTTTTTATTCAGTCTCTTCCTCATATCAGTATTTGATCTACTTCTTAATCCTTTGAAGATCTAGGATCCAGGATTGTAATTTGTAGCCATTTCCCTTGTTTTTTTTTTTTGAGTCTCTGTCGTAGATGGTCTGGATAGTGTTATCTGCCTAGTCTGCCATCTTGAACCCAGAACCTCTCCCTCCTCTTCAAGCCTTCATTTAGTCACTATTCTGAATTTTGTGATAGCTTTCATGCTTTTTTCATCCATCACCTATGGATGATTTTATACATATATACTTGCTTCTGAAACATCTATAAATAAAATCATAATGTTCTTATTCTTCCATTATTTGTTCCTTTCACTCAAAAGTTTTCTTTCATCATTTTCACAATGATTCCTATAGCTGTAGTTCATTCATTTGCACTGCTTTGTAGTGTTCTACTCTATGAATATATTTACACTTGTCTTAGTCTACTATTTATGGACATCAGGGTTATTATTAGATTTTGCCATTCTGAAAAAATACTCCCGTGAACATGTGCATAAATTTTCTAGGGGCAATAGTTCTTAAACTTTTTGGTCTCAGGATCTCTTTATACTTTTAAAAATTACTGAGGACCCCAAAGACCTGTTGTTTATCTGGGTTATATCTGTTGATGCTTATCACAGTAGAAAAGCTATCAGAGGGTTTTGTTTATGTAAGGGTTCTCAACAAGTGATAACATTTCTTTACAGATTATAGGATTACTATTCAGATTTTATTTCTTATTTTATTCTTAGTTTAAGTTGCATTTTTAAAGGAATTTACTCATTTTATTTAAGCTTTCCAATTTACTGGCATAATTAACAATCTTCTTACCTGATTAATCTTTACTTCTATGGTTATATCCCTTCCTTTATTCTAAATTGTATTTACGTATGCCTTTCCTCTTTTTTCTTAATATCACCAGAGGATTTTTTTAAAAGTCTTTTGAAAGAATCAACTTTGAGCTTTACTGATCCTTTGTATTGTAAATTTTATTTAATTAATTTCTACTTTTTATTACTTTCTGAATCTAGCCCAACTCTAGGCTTTATAAGAAGTGAGCCAGGAAATTTCCTTTTGCTTAAGCTACTTTGAGTTGGGTTTTCTGCCACATATGAAATAAAAAGTCCTACTCGATAAAAGCTATCAGATGAACTTTTTAAGAAAATGAATATTCAACTAAAACCAAATGGATGTTAATTAAATTAATTTTTAAAAGTTATAGTTAAATGATTAAAATAGCAAAAGTTATGATATGACATTTGCAAAAATACTAAATGGCACACTTGAGGATAAGTGACAAGACAATTTTTGTTTTAAAAACCAGAGTACACATTTGCAACTGTTAAACAAATGCCTCTTTCTATCCCAAGTGAATTTTCATTATCAGCTTAATGGAAAACAAAACTCACTAAGTGTATCACACTGCAGAAAGATCTTTCCAGAGTAGGAAACATGATTTAATTCTTCAATATTAATTTTGATTTTCTTATGAGTATGTCATTTACATTAAAAGTACCCTCTATTTCCTCCTTTATCATTCATTCTAACTCCTTAAAATCTGATTTCTGCCACAGCCTTTCACTGCAACTTTTCTTGGAGAACTGACCTTGTTAGGAAAAAAAACTATAATAGCATCAGGAGTAGTCGCCTTAAATTAACTGATTGCTTCCTATGCTCCTGGAACTGTGTTAATTGCTTCACATATACGATTTAATCAAATCCTCACAACACAATGAATTGTTGTTAGGTACCACTGAGGCCAAGTCAGTTTCAACTCATAGCAACTTCATGTACAACAGAACAAAACAGTGCCTCACAATTGTTGCCATGCCTGAGCTCACTGTTGCAACCACTGTGTCAATTCATCTCATTGAGGGTCTATCCTGTTTTCATAAGAGTCCTCAAGTGATGCAAATGGTTATGCTTAACTACTAGCCAAAAGGTTGACAGTTTGAACCCACCCAGAGGCACCTGGGAAGGTAGGTCTGGTGATGTTTCTCAAAGGTCACAGCCTTGAAAACCCTATGGAGCAGTTCCAGTTTGTGCACATGGTGTCACCATGAGTCAGAATTGATTGGATGGGAATTAACAACAGCATCCCTTTTTTATAGATAAGGAAACAGGCTCAGAGGAGTTAAGTACCTGGATTAACTAAATCACATAGTGAGTATGGTTTTTCTTAATATTCATCTGGTTAGATGAACACTGACAGAATTTATTGCCAACTGTCTCCTTTGCCTCCTTTGTACACAGCCATCCCTGGACTACTGTGACAAAGCATTCTTGCTATTTTCTTCTCCCACCTGCTGCTTCTTCCCATCCAGCTCTCCAAAAGCAGGAGATACTCAAGGTTCTAGTGTAGCTCCCTTTTCCCGCCTCACCCATTAGCAATTTCAAGGGTTCAAACAGCACCTCCACCGAGATGATGACCTAAGTTTTCCACTCCTACCCTCCAGATAAACCAAACTAGCTAGCACATACACTCCAGTGTGCAGTGAAAGGCCTTAGTCTGTGCTTCTAGGGAAACAAAGAGCTTTAATCTGTTTATTAATCCAGTTAAAGCAAGATCTAAATAAGGTAACTTTCAGCATGTCCTGGTAAAGTAACAGCCTTCCTCTTTTGTCCTCCATCCAAAGTTAAAAAAAAAAAAAAACTTGTCTATTTTCATTAAAATAGCTCTATCTTCAATGTAATCTTTTGCCTCTAGGCTTAAGAGAATTGCTTAGTCATAAGACATGTTTTCATTCCTATTAAAGACAGTAAGTTCAAGAAATACGTGTTATTTTTCTTTTTCCTTTTTCCTCCCTTCCTTTAAGGCATCAAAAGCCAGAACAGCTAGGATTTTAAGATGACCACTGTGATTCATCCTCGTTTTGAAAAAAGATCCATGGCGATATTATAGAAGAGAAAGAAAATGTTTCTAATGATTTACAAACCTAACATACTGCAGAGCTTTATTTATGATTGACATCACTAGGTAATGATTTTTTGTAGAATAATGTTCCTCAAACTTTTCTACCAAAGTACTCCTAGCAGTAGAGGAAAGCAAAGAGATCTGGGAGGTGGTCTAACCATTAGTATAACATTTCTATATATTATTGTGTTTCATCTTAAGAATTCAAAGAAATCTGAATTCCCTCTATTCTATATGTATTTAAGCATAAAAATGTTTACTGCTCTCTTACCCATTCCCCCCAAAAATAAACTCCAGTAAAAATGACATTTCAGGAAGCTTTACAATGCTAATCCTTTGTTTTTCTTTTTTTTTTTTTTTAACATTTCCAGCAGAATGCCACATACTCAGGGCCATTAATACCCTTCTATGATAAGCACCACTGCCATGGAAATGCAAATCCAAAAATGACTGTAAAGTCTACTGGTCATTAACAGTGCAGGCCCCTTACAATTATCCATGTGCTCTGGTGGTACAGTGGTTAAGGCATTTGGCTGCTAGCCAAAAGGCTGGCAGTTTCAACCAGCAGTTATCTGTGGGAGAAAGAGGAGGCACTCAGTAAAGATTTACAGCCTTAGAAACCCTATAGGGAAGTTCTACTCTCTCCTACAGGGGTTACCATGAGTCAGAACTGACTCGATAGCAGTAGGTTTGGGTTTTTCATAGTTATCTTGGCCCACCCACTGCCAGTAACTCAATTCTGACTCAGCGACCCTGTAGGACACACGAGAACTACCCATAGGGTTTCCAAGGCTACAAATCTTTACGGATACAGACTGCCTTATTTTTCTTCCATGGAGTTCCTGGTGGGTTCAAACTGCAGACCTTTTGGTTGGCAGCCAAATGCCTTAACCACCATACCATCAAAGCTCCTGAACGACTAATATATGGACCTAATTCAAAGATCAATCTAATTATAAATTTTATTTCATTAAGCTTAGCAAAAAGTTAAAACAATTTCCTCAAATTTCATTTCTCAATAATACAGGGGGATTTTTAAAATATAACTTTTAGATTCTCTAAGAGCTCAGCAGAATTGAGTTAATATTTAGGATTTTTCTGAACTTGGTTAAAATGGGGCACCATATATATATATATCTCACATATATACATACACATATAAACACACACATATATATATCAGTTACAATAAAAAAATTCTTCAGTTCATGAATGAACTCAAGATACTTTTCATTAAATTGCTCACTTTTTCATAAGTAACATTTTGTGTTATATAAAAATATAAACTTTAGGTAATATAACATATGAAAAATAATAATTATATTTTAGTACCTGAGTTCTTTAAAAAGTTCAACATTCTGATGAGTCATCAAGTTGTTTAGAAGCCATTCAAGGCACCTGAAAGTAAAATATGAAATTATTACATTATATATCCTGTATTTATAATTTATTAAATAAGACTTATAGTTAAAATAGAAACAGAATATTAATCTTACTAGGACATGCTTAACATTTTTAGTGTAACAAGTAGAAATTTAGTATTGTTTTTATCAGTAGTTATTAAGGGACTATTCCCTTCATATTAATAAGAACATTTCTAATTAAGAAAATCCTATTATATATTTGTGTTAAATGGTTTATGAAGGGGCTTGCATACTTCTATTACCTTCTTTAAAATTTGAAAATGGGTACTATAATCCTCAAGAGTTAAAGAGCAAACACTGACAGTAGTTGCACTGACATAATGTATATTACACCTATTCTTTAAAAATTTTAATAGAAAATATAAAGAGTGGCCATAGTTTTTATGAACATGTATAATCCACTCATGGTCATTACATCAAAGACAATACTTTTGAGGAAGTTACTAATTAGTCCAAAGTAAAAAGAAGCTTTTTATATTCTCATATCTTTTTTCAAAATTCTCTTTCTTATAACTATGCATTCTCTTAAGAAAGTAAAGCACCAAAGTCCCAAAAGTTGGATGGGAGGGAAAACAAGAAAGGTAACTCACTTTTTCTTTACAGAATCTAATCCATAGGTCCCTGCTGATGTGTAATAGCCACATACAGTTTTCACATTAATTGTTTCCTTCATTGTCTCACCACACTGCTGTATTAAACCATCCTGTAAATATAAATAAGCACTGGAAAGGCCCATTTCACATGGGAAAAATTAGCTCTGAGTAAGTGCTTTTACATATTTAAAAAGTGAAAAAAGAAAAAAGAAAGAAAGAAAAGAAAACTCATTAAGTGACAGCAAGCCTATTTTTTTTTTTTTTTTTTTTTTAGTAAGTCCTTTAAAAATTCTGAAAAAATTCAGCAAGTATTCAACTAAATACTTGAAATTGGAAAATGGTAGCAGGGGGTGGGAAGATAGTAGAGATGAATATTGCTACTCTGTCTTTTTTCTATTCTTCCCCTCTCTGGAATCTTTGCAAATTTCTTTAGCAGTAGTCTGTTTTGCTTATTTTTTTCAAAATTAAGAACTCTTTACCATAGTCAGTTGACCATATGATGGGTTAGGCAAGGAAACTACATGAATTATCAGGAAGTGTTTACTAAAGTTTGAAACACCTATCAATATCTAAAAAATGTACCTAAAACAAATATATTATTGTTTAAACAACTTATATTAAAATTTTAATCTAAAATGTTTATGTAAAACCTTTCAAATAAAATAAATGGAAAGAAGATTGTCATTTTCCACTCAAATTTATGAAATATATTCATCATGCAAGTATATTATTAAGTTAAATAGTTAGTAAGTCATACAAATAACACAGAAAGTAGATTTAAAACAAAACCAAAAGGACCAAAGTTAGAAAATAAAGCATACTTATTGGAAATAAGTCTTGAAGGGATCAAAGCATTTTAAAAATCAAGTGATCTTAGTCAAATATATTTAGTAAGCTATTAGTAATACTTAAAATAAGTAAGTACACAATACCACATAAAAGGAAACGATATTTTTCCAAATGATTGAAATAGACACTGACTCCATTGGTATTTTAAATTTATCTGGAAGTCACTCTAGACTCTTCTCTTTTCCTCTTAATATCTGTCACCAAGTTTGAAGGATTATTTCTGGTGAATATCTCTGGATCCATTGTTTTCCTCTCCTTGCTCAGTGCTACTCACTAATTTAGAACCTCACTTGGACAA